AAGACAAGGTTCCACTACTGTTGGAATCACTGTACATAGGTTATCATATCAAATGGAGGACGCCTGTACTCCATGTTTTTTTCGTATCTATAATTTTAAACCTCTTATTATCAGATCATTATGTACTCTCAATCTGAACATTATGAACCATCATTGTGTGGGAATGAATAACCAATGTGCTTGTGTAAGCAGATTTGAATAACCAGATGCAGTGTCTACAGTAAAACAGCAGCTGAGAACAGAAGTGTGAGAAGGCCAAGAACCTCGGTTCTAACCCTTTGAGGCACCTGACTGTACCATGATAAGCCTCGGTTCTCACCCTTTGAAGCGCCTGACTGTACCATGATAAGCCTCGGTTCTCACCCTTTGAAGCGCCTGACTGTACCATGATGAGGAGCTTGGATATAATGTTGGATACAATGTAATATTAAGCCACACCTGCGTGCAGCCTGTGTGATCTCATCCCTTAGAGGCTGCACGTCTGTTTTCTCCTGGATGGTGTTTATAATAATGTTTTGGATTTAACCCTGACATTAACATTAAAAAAATAACATTGAAAAAGGTTTGAACTGCAGGGCAGCCGGTCCAGCTGATGCGCAGTGACACTCATAATAACAAAAGTTTTTACAGGACTTGAATGAAAACGTGCGCTCTACTCACAGACAAAATTCTCTCAAGATGAGAGTTCAACATCTGACAGAACAGGGCCTCAGCCAGACTCTCCTAATTCACACTCTCCATTGTAAGAAGTACAGCAAAAGAACCAGGCTAGTCCATCAGTCTTTCCTGCCAACGAACCCAACAAAACACAGGGTCATAATTAATTAACTGTTTTACGGCAGTCTGCATCAAAGTGTCATAAGACACTTTGTTTTCCTCGACTTTAATGCTTTATCATTGAGTCTTCTGGTCTGATGTAAATTGTTTTCTTAGTATGATTCTGAGTACAGTCAAATGTTTAAGGATCATAGATCAAATGAGGATAGTGAATATGATTTTTCATTAATCGATTTTATAGTGAATGAAAGGATACAGGGATATGTTGACGTGTGGATTTCCTACAAAATTAGTTGTATAAAGCTGCACAATTTTCTTCCTGATAAATCATTAGTAATCCACCCTTTTTCATTCATGCTTCCCGCCCTCTTAAAAACCCATGTTTTAGCTATCCAGTATCTATGCTCTGAGAGGCCACAAGTTAGCTTGGTAAGACCACTTTTTTTAATTTTTTTTATGAAAAATTAAGGCAAAATAAGTGTATGAATCTCTTGCTTTATGTTCACTTTAAAGTTTATTTTGAGAAAAAATAACACAGAAAAGACAAGGTGAATAACTTAAAACTACAAATATTTGATATGATTTACTTTCTCCATGTACCCCTAGATTAGGTGATTCTGTGACTTTTCTACAATATTTTGGTCTT